TTTTTTTTTTTTACCATTAATTCTTCTTGTCTAAAATATACTTTTTATTTTGTTTTCATTTAAATCTGAACGTCCATCTCCTAGTCTCAATTTATTGTCCATAGAAGGTTGTTCTTTTTTCTGAACTTCAGTACTACTCAGTTTTTTGTAAGTTCATTTGGCCTTTAATCATGTAATATTTTATAATTCTGACTAACTGTTATGTCTGTATGTTTGTTTTTTTTTTTCTTTCCAACTCTGAATTGTAAATTCCTTGAAGTCCGGGTTAGTTTTTATATTTCTCTTTTGTTCCCATGTTCAACATCTGGCATAATATCAGGAATATTTTAGATGATTAAAACATTGAATGAATGGATTTGATTACTTTGATACTTGTCTTATTTGAGATTTAGAAAAAAAAAATAATCTTACTGATGGAGCTTAAATCACCATGGAACTATCTCAGAAGTACTTCCTAAAGCATTATATTGAAGAGATTTAATTTAAGTATGTTAGCAATTTAAATAGTTTATTTTATGTTTTTATTTTATATTTTTAAAAATAAGACATTTTTCTTTCCTCTCTCCCTCTCTTTGTCTCTTCTTTCTTTGTTTCTTTTTATTTTTTGGCAGCCGGTTCGAAGACAGTCCCTTACCCCTCCTCCTCAGAACACTATTACATGGGAAGAATATATATCTGCTGAAAATGGAAAGTAAGTTTTTTTTATTTTATTTTGGAAAGTAAGGGTTTTTTTTTTCTTTTGGTTTTATTTTGTTCATTGGTTTTTAGAAAGAACAATTTGGAAAAACATGAATATTCAGGTGTAAAATTATCTTAGAAAGAATTACTATTATGGTTTTGTCTGAAGCAATTATTTTTTCTTTTAAAAATATGATTAAGTGTGATCAGAATGGAATGGTTGTTTTTCATATTGCCTGATGCTCAAACACTTTCCTTTTGTCCCACATCTTTCTGATGCCATTCAAAGAAAATATAATGTGAGGAATTTCCCACTGCAGTTGCTTATTTGAGTGTTTCTATTATGTGTGAACTTTTATATTCTGTTACTCTGCTGAGACTTTACATGGTGGGAAAAGCCATGCACTGCTTTTCTACTTTTTACCTTTCTAAGCTCATCAACTATCATTTATCTCTTTGTTTTAGCCTGTGCCAGACTTCTTCTCATCATCCTTACAAAAGACTTTGCTTAATGTTTTGTTACTGATCCTGGGGCACCTGGGTGGCTAAGTTGGTTGAGCACCCGACTTTGGCTCAGGTCATCATCTTGTGGTTCGCCAGTTCGTGTTCCACGTTGGGCTCCCACTTCGGATCCTCTGTACCCTCTGCCTCTGCCCCTCCCCTGCCTGTGCTCACTTTCTCTCTTTCTCTCTCTCTCTCTCTCAAAAATAAAATAAATATTAAAGAAAATTATTTACAAAATGTTATATTACTGATCCTTACTAGAATACCAATTACATGGTTTGTATATAGTAGATACTTATTGAATAAAAGGATGATGAGTGGATAAATGATTTTATTTTTTTTTAAAGTTTGAGAGAGAGAGAGAGAGCATGCAAGCTGGGGAGGGGCAGAGAGAGAAGGAGAGAGAGAATCTCAAGGAGGCCCTTTGCTGTCAGCTGCTGTCGGCGTGGAGCCTGACTTGGGGATCTATCTCAGGAACCGTGAAATTGTGAACTAAGCTGAAATCAAGAATCGGATGCTTAACTGCCACCCAGGTGCCCTAAAGTGGTTTATTTTAAATGAATAAGTAAAAATACTTTTTTTTTCTGGCCAACTGTGTCAAAGAAGGTACAGTTGTTTATAGAAAATATTATTCCTTTGGTGGAGAAAATAAAATATTGCCTACTTCCACGATTAGGAAGAAGTTGTCATGACTATTTTTTTTTTCTATTTAGGGTTTTTTATTATACTCTTCTAACTTCTCCAAAATGTTTCCATCTTATAATAGTCTATAGTTAATATAAAGTTCTTTATTTTTTTCTTCTTATTGGTCAGTGCTAAGAAGTGTACACAGTAAAAGAGATTCAATTGGATAAGTGATTTTAGAGATATACAATATTTTTAAAGTTTATTTTTTCTAGTGATTTGATTTATTCCTAAAAATAGTGGCTATTGAAATTATATTCAATATGAAATTTGTTGAGTTTGATCATTTTTCTGAACTTTTCATTATGCTAGTTTCTTCTTTTTTTTACCCTTGTCTCATTTCTTGTATATGTCTTAAGTCCTTTTAACATAATTTAAATTGATTTCTACACAGAGTAAGAAAAATTAAAATATTAATGATGTCCTTAGAAGATGACAGATTCTTTATAGAAAGATGATAACATGTAGAAAAGGTTTTCCTAATTTTTTTCCCCCCATTTTAGAGCTCCTCATCTGGGTAGAGAACTGGTGTGCAAAGAGAGTAAGAAAACGTTTAAAGCTACAATAGCCATGAGCCAGGAATTTCCCTTGGGAATTGAGTCGTAAGTGTGTTACAAACTATAAACATTTATGAAAGAAATTGTGAAACCCTAAAGATTGTAATGATATTTGCATCTGAGTGTTGCATTTGATGCCTTTGAAATGAAAAAGCAAATAGCCATTGCTTTGATACTATGTCACCCTTATATACATTTTCTGGTTCACAAATTATTAACATTTTTACTACTTTAACCAGATACATTTTCAAATTGTTTTTAAATTATAAAAGTAGCAAATGAATATATGTTTATTGTAAAAAATAGCGTGGAAGTTTATAGAATAAAAATAACAGTTTACTTCTACTTCACTAATAGTTAATTGGTGAATAACTAGAGTATTTTTGTCTAGATTTTTCTGCGTGTTTTTGCATTCTTTATAAGCTTGAGGGATAGTTTACATTTTGTTCTGTGAGTTTTGCTTTTTAATTTCTTTTTTCTTTTTTTCTTTTTAAAAAAAAATTTTTAATATTTATTTAGTTTTGAAAGAGAGAGAGACTGAGTGTGAGGGAGGGAGGCACAGAGGGAGAGGGAGACACAGAATCAGAAGCAGGCTCCAGGCTC